GCACATTAAAATTCCATTCCCCTAATAACCTACTGAAATGTGAAAAATATCATTCTAATCACCAGAATGCATGAAAAAAAGAACATTATTTTAAAATATTAATGAATACATAATAATGAATAAATATTTATATATTTTTATGAATATTAAATGTAAAGTAGGATTTTAAATATGTATCATGGTAATATTTGTTGCACTGAATTTAAGTTATCCTGACTAATAACATTTTTACAGTATTTTACAGTAATAAGAACAATATTGTTTTTTACTTTGCCTTAATGAAAACTTATTTTACGTTATAGTAATGAAGAAGGAAACGATCATGATAAAAAATGGAACTTATGCAAAATAGTTTTGTTACATTAATTTTTTTTACATTGTGTGTGTGTGTGTGTGTGTGTGTGTGTGTGTGTGTGTGTGTGTGTGAGACTCACGTCGGTGTGTTTGGTCATGGGGTTGAGCTTCAGGAACAGCGGACTCTCGATGATCTCGCACACCTACAAAAAACACACACACAGCTTCAGTACGACACAACACACGGATGGGAGGCGTTTATCCTCAGCTCCACCCACCTGCTTATGAATGTGGATATCTGATTGGTCCGGAGCGCCGCCAGTCGTGTACCAGCCTAGAAACTCCATGTCCTTAAAAACCTGCTTGACTGACGGAGGAAAACCAGCGTCACACACACACACACACACACGTTAGGAATCACTATATATTTTTATGAATATTAAATGTAAAGTAGGATTTTAAATATGTATCATGGTAATATTTGTTGCACTGAATTTAAGTTATCCTGACTAATAACATTTTTACAGTATTTTACAGTAATAAGAACAATATTGTTTTTTACTTTGCCTTAATGAAAACTTATTTTACGTTATAGTAATGAAGAAGGAAACGATCATGATAAAAAATGGAACTTATGCAAAATAGTTTTGTTACATTAATTTTTTTTACATTGTGTGTGTGTGTGTGTGTGTGTGTGTGTGTGTGTGTGTGTGTGTGTGAGACTCATGGGGACTCGTGTCACGGACCTAAATTGAGGTCCCCACAGGTAAACAAGCTAATAAATCTTGGTTTTTGAAAATATAAAAATGCACAAAGTTTCCTGTAAGGGGTAGGTTTAGGTGTAGGGTTGGTGTAGGGCGATATAAAATACAGTTTGTACAGTATAAAAACCATTACACCTATGGAGAGTCCCCGTAAACCACAAAGGCGTTTTTTTACAGTAGAAAAAGCATTACGCCTATGGAGAGTCCCTACAAGGATAGCAAACCAGACGTGTGTGTGTGTGTGTGTGTGTGTGTGTGTGTGAGACAAATGCACACTAACTAGAACCAAATGATTTACCTAAACTTTTAATAGAGGAAACGCCAGCTCCATTTTCACTCCCCTTCAAATTCATTAATGAATCCTGTTCAACATAAAGTAAAATTTATAAAACATATTCTTAAATACATGCAGTATTATTATGTTAAAACCAGAATGGGTTCAAAACTGACATCCTTGCCATTGATTGGTCTGCCATTCATCAAATTGTCATCCTCATGGCCTGGAGTCAGATCCTGCTCATCTGAAGGAGACGGCGCCACTATGAAAACCTTGGTGACGACTGCACTCTGACGGCCATCGCTGCATTACATTACAAATGGTCTTTATTTAGGTCAGTTTATATTCGAATTTGTCATTTGGTGTTTCTTCAACTACAGGCACTACTGACTTTTAGAAAATAACTTTTCACGCTCTCACTAGTTTATTTAATTTGTCTACTAATGGATATACATGCATCAAATGAGAATTCTGTGATTTTTTTTTCTGAATATTTCGAGTATATTTCAAATAATGCATTGGCTTTAAAGGGGTCATATGATGCGATTTCAGTTTTTCCTTTCTCTTTGGAGTGTTACAAGCTCTTGGTGCATAAAGAAGATCTGTAAAGTTGCAAAGACTAAAGTCTCAAATCCAAAGAGATATTCTTTATAAAAGTTAAGAGTCAACCACACCTACCTAAAACGGCTCGTTCTAACACGCCCCCACATACCTACGTCACTATGTGGGAATATTTGCATAACGCCGCCCAAATTTTCACGCAAAGAAAGAAGCGTAACTTTTATTCTCGCTGTAGTATTGTTGTTGCCGCCGCTGCCATATCGTGAAGGCGCTGTGTGTTTCGTTGTGAAAGCGAAACTACTTTGTTTGGTCTTCCAAAAACCCCTTTAATAGAATTTGGTTACGGAAATGACGCTGATGGAAATGACATTTACATTTTTTTTAGAATAAAATAAACTTTTGCAGAAATTTATGCATAATAAAAATACACACATTTAAATAAATGTATAACTTGACTGAAAATGATGTACAATAAAAATATTCTGTTCTCAAGTGATATTTACTATGATTTTTTTGATTTCACGATTTTTCATGATTGTTTTCTTCACCATCATGTCTCATATTTCATCTCAAGCTGTTCACTGACAAAACTTTATTAGGAGTAAAAATGTTGGTTGTGTTTGAGAATGACATCACAACTATGGGACAGGTTGTATAAATCTTTATATAAATTTGTATACAAAAACTGATGTGTTATACCAATGCTTCACAATACAAACTTGTTTATTTTACTCTTTGTTTAAGTAATCATAAATTTGTAAAAAAAAAAAAAAAAATTATAATAAAAAAAATAACAGTTTTGTAACAAGTTTTATTCTATTTTTAATATGTTATTTACATTTTATGATTTATTTTTATATTATTAATATGATTTTAGTGTTAAAAATATGGGATTGTACAGAGCCCCTAAAGTGACATGTTGATGGTAAAAAAAAAAAAGAGGAAAAATTATATTTCAATGTTTTTGTGTTTTCTCACAAAACGTTTGTATTCCTCCATACACACACACACACACACACACACACACACACACACACAAAATAGTTTCATGAGAGAACGCAAATGTTTTAGGAGAGAATGTAACATTTCTCAGGGGAACACAATAGTTTGTGAGAAAATGCATTTGTTCTCTCAATTTTTTTTTCTCATCGCATGTCCTCTTAGGGGCTAAATAGGGTTTGGGACAAGGATAAAACTATAAATAAGATTTGAGAAAAATAGACAAAATAAATAATAAAGGCAAGGTTCCAAGACAGTTTTAATGTAATGTATACACTTTATAACAAGTTTTTTATTTTATTTATTCATTTATTTATTTTTTACAAACAAAAATCAACCCCTTGGACATGATGCCTGTAATCGATAAAAACACCCAGGTCCCAGCCTATTAAAACAACATAGCATAAAATGTACGTACGTGCTGACAGCCATGGCTCTCACAGACACTTTCCCCACAGGTAAGCGAATAGCTTCAGTGTACTTCAGAGTGCGGTCACCAAAACCCGGCCTCTTCATCATCTCCGGCTTACTGCCGTCCAGCGTGTACAGGACACTCACATCTGAGGATTCTGGAAATATGGGTAATAAAACACATGAAGATCTACCAGCAAGAAGCGAGCTCGTGCTCCTCACAACCGCACTGACTCACCGGATTTGATCTCGACAGCGGTGCAGGAGTCAATCTCATGCTTGGCTTTGCCTGGAGGCGGCATGCGAATGGGAATTATTTGAGGTGCTGCCACTGAACCTGCTGTCATGTTTGCACTCTTGAATCTGCAACATAGGTGAAAAAATACATTAGTGGGTCCGACAACTACATAGAGATACTTTTATTAACGATTTGTTTAATTCAGCGCATGCATAAAACGGCTATAGACAATATGGGCTTACAAACTCTGCTGTCCTGAGTATTTGTGTAGATTAAAGTATCTCAAAATTTGAAACATAAACGATATTTCCTAACACAACTCTGTATCCAACGACGCTGAAATGAGACACTCAACACCCAGCTGGACGCGCTGTTGACTCGTCACGTATCCCATAGCAACTGAGCAGTACGCATGCGCCTGACAGCTGCGCGCTTTCTGTCCTTAAAGGGACACTTCTGTCAGTTTCTTTTCGCCCTCACCTTGTTCCAAACCAAACCTCTGTTCCCTTCCTTTCTTTTGTGGAGCACAAAATGAATTTTGGAACTACTATTAAAAAATACATTCATACATACATACTTGTATTCAACAGGGATACATTCAATTGATAGAAAAAAATATATAAAAAGATAACAATATTACAAATATTTCTATTTCAGATAAATGTTGTTCTTTTGAATTTTCTGTTCATGAGAGAATGATGAGAAAGATGATTTCCACAAAAGAGCAGCAAAACCGGTTTTCAGCATGGATAAAAATACGAACCATTATTAATATGAATTATTAAATATTATTGAGAACCAATCAAGTACCGTACTTCAAGTAAATATTGATGCAGTGAGATCCAGGCAAATGAGTAATGATTATGTCAGAGATCAATTTTAGAAGAAGGAATAACATTTATTAAATAAAAAAATATATTAGGCTAATTTTACAATAGAAGAATGATTTTTTTTAATTAAGATCTATCTTATTCAATAATTTGTACTAAAGTACAAAGTATTTAAAATGATTATATCTAAGGGATGAAGTAGTGAATATCAGTAGAAAAGCCAAACACAGTCTCCGGAGAATGTAAGAAGAATTTGAGGAGAGGGGAAAAGCATGAAAAAAGGAGAAGAAAGAGTAAAAAGTAAAGGTAAGAGAAAAGAAGAAGAATCAGAGTAGGCATAAAGGAATATATATATATATATGTATGTGTGTGTGTGTGTGTGTGTGTATAAACACAGTCTCCGGAGAATGTAAGAAGAATTTGAGGAGAGGGGAACAGCATGAAAGAAGGAGAAGAAAGAGTAAAAAGTAAAGGTAAGAGAAAAGAAGTAAGAATCAGAGTAGGCATAAAGGAATATATATATATATATGTATGTGTGTGTGTGTGTGTGTGTGTATAAACACAGTCTCCGGAAAAGAACATTTAGTACTGTTAATGACTAATTCTGAGAAACATTATTACTCAGGCAGCAGTTGAAATATGTCCAATACCAAAACACCAGAAAAGAAGATATAACTTTCAAACATATATAAAATGTGCATAACATACATATTTTTGGAGAATACTACAAATATTACAAACATAAATATAACAAAATAAAACACAAACATAAATGAGTAACAGTACTGAGGAAATACTTGAATATGAATATATGATGAGGATTAACATAAGAAGCATAAATCAACTAATAATAAATCAAATGGATATGAAAATCAAGAAAAGAATATGACAACATTGATTTTCTTTGGATGCATCCATTTTTTTTTTTAGGTCAAATGGGTTCAGAAAAAAAAATTTGCATTATGAACAAATTTATGAAGATTGAGAGATTTATGAATATCTGGATGTGTTGAATTCACAATACTCGATGTTTATACGCCAACATTTAATTCTTATCTTCCTCCAGCACAGTAGGTGGCGCTGTGAGTTTTTCTTTTTTTTCCCTCACTGTACTAGTCCGTGTTGCCATGTCCGCTTTCTATCAGTGTTCATGGGCTTGATTTGGTTATAAACGTTAGAAATCGCGGATGTGAGTTTTTGGAGTTGTTTTAAAATAAACCCGAATTTAGTAAAAAACAAATGTGCATATATCCTCTTATTCAACAGAGGGAGGTAGCAGATTGTGGGCTTGTGTTTAATCCGCTTGCTTCTTTATTTTGGGCAATCTGGCAACCCGGCAGCCTGTAAACTCTCACCGCCTATCAAACGACCATGAGTGCAGACTGAAATTCGACACAGCATTTATCTTTGAATGTATCATTTATATTATTGACATTTGACCTTCTCGGCAAGTAATTCCATCCTGATGAACAATGACAGAAGTTAAAGTCAAAAAAGAGTCCACGGACCCGGTAGATATCGAGAATAGGTGAGTTGAGCGCATCCGCATGCCACTCTTGGCCTGTTGACAACATTCAGCGTGTGGATGAATTTAGAATCAATTATAGTTACTACCAAAGCTACTCTGTCATTTCTGTGTACTGCAAGTATTTATAAACCGACGTTTATTTTTTAATAGCGTATGAGTTTATACAGCTACTTAATGATTATGTATATAGCTATTATTCTGCCCAGAGCATATTTTGCTGCGTTCGACTCTTGCACAAGTTCCGAAAGCGTGATTATGTCAGTGACGTAACGCACGCACGTTCAAGTGATTTTGGTAGAAATGAAATGTATTCGCTCATTTCGCTGCCTGGGCAATTTCGTATTTTCTTTTCTGTCTCTGTTGGACTAACTGACAGAGACAGGAAGGTTTTCATCGCTGTTTCACCATAATGTAAAGCAGAGGAATTTATTTTACAACTGACGTGCTGCTGCAGAGAATGTTGGGAGATTTAGCTGATTTTGGTAAAGCCACTTATTTTCCTCTGTTGAAGGATAAAAGAGTTGTGTCTGCAGTTTCCACATGGGATCACAGACCAGGTCATCCAGAATGACATGCCTCACGTTGAGGTGCAGCAGCGGGCCATGGCCATCAACAGACTGCTGTCTGTGGTGAGATGCTCAGCTCCAGCTGACAGTGCATGAAACATGGCCATGCTTTTATACTCATATCTGACTCTTTATTTGTGTTCTCAGGGTCAATTAGACTTGCTCAAAAACAGCAATGGCCTTTTATACAGGCTTAAGGATGCTCAGTCTGCCAGGTTTGTCTCTTTAAATGCAAGAATATGCACAAACAAATTAATATTAACTACAATATCAAATAATTTAATTTGCACACAAATTAGTGAATTTAGTAAAAAGAAATACATGCTTTTACTTAATATTGCATTTATTTGTTTAATTTGAATTCATTTAATCTTAAATAGAATCAAATTAAACAAATAAATGCAATATTGCGTGTGTTTATATCTTTTTACTAATTCACAGTATGTGCACACACAAATTTAGTGAATTAGTATTAACATTTTAAAAATACATTTTCAATTTTATTTGAATTAATATTACTTCACTAAACTAATGTGCATTTATACATGTGGTGAATTAATATTAATTAAATTAAGTTTATAAAAATATACATATATATAAAAAAAAGATATATATATATATAATATAAAACATATATACAATTCTTTGAATCTGAAGTTTAATTAATAATAATTTACTGAATTTGTGTTCACACCACATGTCAAATTTAGTGAATTAGTATTAATTCAAATAAAATGATTCAAAAGAATATTAATTAAAATGATATACTGTTTCTTTTTTGACAGTAAAGTAAAAGGCTCTGATAACCAAGAAAAGCTAGTTTACCAGATCATAGAAGATGCTGGAAATAAAGGTGCAATGCATTTTATCATTTGCATATTGTCGTTTTATTTTTTCGATAAATCACAATTAATATTGCTCAAGAAAGCTTATTTCAATAGCTTTTTCTGATTTCTAAAGGAATTTGGACCAGAGACATCAGATACAAGAGTAACCTTCCACTCACAGAAATCAATAAAATCCTCAAGAATCTTGAGAGTAAGAAACTCATCAAAGCGGTGAAGTCTGTTGCGGTGAGTTGATCTCGGAACCTTATTTAAACATTTAAAATGTTTTATTAGCTTCAGACCTACAAAAATGTCTTTCCCATCCAGGCCTCTAAGAAGAAGGTCTACATGCTGTACAACTTGCAGCCGGACCGATCTGTGACAGGAGGCGCCTGGTATAGCGATCAGGATTTTGAGTCTGAGTTTGTTGAGGTTCTCAACCAACAGTGCTTTAAGTTCCTGCAAAGTAAGGTGAGATTGTAATATTTCTTATTCCTCTGTGATCTTTGAAATTTAAGGCTTTGAATTTAAAAGAAGTGTGGGTATTTTCAGGCTGAAGCAGCGAGAGACAGTAAGCAAAGCCCCATGGTGCAAAGAAACAGCTCATTTGCCACCTCTCATGAAGTGTGGAAGTACATCTGTGAGCTCGGCATCAGCAAAGTGAGTGTGAACAATATCTTCAAGGAATAGGAATAGCCAAAAATGTAAAATATGCTGAACGTTTACTCGCCCTCAAGCCATCCAAGGTGTAGATGAGTTTGGAGAAAAATAGCATTCATCACTTGCTCACCAATAGATCCTCTGCAGTGAATGGGTGCCGTCAGAATGAGAGTCCAAACAGCTGATAAAAACATCACAATAATCCACTGAATTTTAGGGGTCGACCGATATTTGTTTTTCAGGGCCGATACCGATTATTACAGATCAAGTAGACCGATAACCGATATTTTGAACCGATATGTATGTCTGGTGTAAAAATTAAAATTAATGTAAAAATTAAGAATAACAAGGGCTCTGACAAAAACTGTTCAGACATTCAATGAGGCTCAGAGGTGGCATGAGTGCGGTTAAATTCATAAATTCATGTGGAGATTAATGGTTTAAATAAAATTTTGAATACAGAAATATTAAGTGATTTAAATAACTGCAATTACAGGTGCGTCTCAATAAATTAGAATGTCGTGGAAAAGTTCATTTATTTCAGTAATTCAACTCAAATTGTGAAACTTCTTAATATCGGCCAGGCCGATAATCGGTCGACCCCTAGAATTGAATGAACATAATAGGTATAATAAGTTATGATATTCCTGTTTGCAGGTGGATTTGTCCATGGAGGACATTGAGACCATTCTAAACACGCTGATCTTTGATGGCAAGGTGGAGATGACCATAATCGCTGCTAAAGAGGGGACAGTGGGGAGTGTAGATGGACAGATGAAGCTCTACAGGGGTGTGAATCCCATAATTCAACCCACTGGCCTGGTCAAAATACCATGTGGACTGTGCCCGGTAACCTTTTAGTACATTAAAATCACAAATAGGGTTGCATGATATATATTGAATTGAAATCGATATAGTGATATTTCTTAGGGTGGTTGTCAAACCGTGCCGGTTATGATTTAATTAAAGGAATTGGTTCACCCAAAAATGTACTCACCCTCAGGCCATTTAAGATGTAGATGACTTTGTATCTTCATCCAGATTTGGAGAAGTTTAGCATTACATCACTTGCTCACCAATGGATCCTCTTCAGTGAATGGGTGCCGTCAGAATGAGAGTCCAAACAGCTGATAAAAACATCACAATAATCCACAAGTAATCCACACGACTCCAGTCCATCAATTAATGTCTTGAGAAGAGAAAAGCTGCACGTTTGAAAGAAACAAATCCATCATTAGGGCATTTTAACTTTAAACCATTGCTTCTGTCCAAAATAGTCCATAATCCATAATAACGCTTCCTCTAGGCGGAAAAAGTCCATGCCCTGTTGTCCTCTCACATCAAAATCTACCCAAATATATGTTTAGAACTGTTTTGGACTGAAATCACTTGGTGCTTGATCTGTGCATATTTCTCTCTTGAATCAGACTAGATGACTTTTTCACTGGAGGAGCAATGTTATGGCTAGAGGACTTGAAAGCAACAGTTTAAAGTAAAAAACAAAAAACATCTTGATGATGATTTTGTTTCTTACAAACTCGTAGATTTTTGCTGTACACAACATTAATTGATGTACTGGAGTCATGTGGATCACTTGTGGATTATTGAGATGTTTTTATCAGCTGTTTGGACTCTCATTCTGACGGCACCCATTCACTGCAGAGGATCCATTGGTGAGCAAGTGATGTAATGCTACATTTCTCCAAAACTGTTCCGGTGAACAAACTCATCTACATCTGGATGACCTGAAAGTCAGTAAATTAAAATTTTTGGGTGAACTATGCCTTTAATGTGCCAAGTTAACAACAGTAACTCTCTGCTCTATAGGTTTTTGATGACTGTCATGAAGGGGGCGAGATCTCTCCGTCTAACTGTGTTTACATGGCTGAGTGGCTGGATTTCTGAAAAGCCAACCGGGTGTCTTTTGTTATTCTCTGTGGAGAAAGTATTTTTCATGCAGCGGTTTGATGCAACTGAAGATATCTTTTTATTTATGTTTTGAACATTAATGACTCTAATGACTCGAGCAGAACTACATTAAGTGAATAAGAAGCAGCTTCCATCTGGTCGTCAGTGAAATTTAGGCTGATTTTCTTTTTCTTTTGTTTGTTATTGCTTCTCTTCACCCACAGATATGTCTTTAAAGATATACCTCAACCATATCAATAAATAAAGGTTTTCATATTTGTTGATAGGTAGTCTGCATATTGTACCATGTGTTTGAGCACTTCTATAATTTTTACACACTGCATCCACATTTTAGCAGATTGTTAATGACACTTTTGTTTTTTGTTTTTTTATAAGAACGATAAAGCAGCACAGACTATTTACGTAAATAGGCTGACTTTGTGTCCGAGGTCATATTTTATATATTAAAAATTGTTATCATTTATAATATAATAGCATAATTTCAGATTTTAAGCAAAAAGCTAACATTCGTCTGTCATTGTGATTTCTGTGTAAATGCATTGTGGGCTACATGATTCTTCAGATTTTGTTCTTAAACATTTTTTTTTTTAAATCCATAAGATCAACAATGTAAATTGCTTTTTTTTTTTCTCACATTTTATTTCGTTCTTGAGAATATTTTACATGCATATTAGAGAGGGAAAGTCATCGGTACGCTTCACATGTTGGATGCAACCTGGTTGCCATGACGACTTGATTTTGGTCCTTTTTATTATGTGTTTGCTTAAATGCCAGCATTTTCCCACACCTGCAATACTGTATTATGCATGTGCTGAAGTTTACGATGATCACACACACACACTGTTCAGATGTATACAGTTATTCAGCAATGATGCATTCATTTCATCAAAAGTGACAGTAAAGACTTTTACATTGTTACAAAAACATTTCAAAGAATTCTGAAAAAATTGCTGCAAGTTTTCCACAAAAATATTAGTCAGCACAACCGTTTTTAATATTGATAAGAAATGTTTCTTGAGCAGCAGATCAGCATATTAGACTGATTTCTGAAGGATCATGTGACACTGAAGACTGGAGTAATGATGCTGAAAATTCAGCTTTGTGTGTGTCAGGAATAAATTACAAATAAAATATATTCAAATAGAAAACAGGTATTTTCACATAATTACTGTTTTTCCTGTATTTGTGATCAAATAAAGACAGCCTTAACATAAGAGACGTCTTTCAAAAACATTTAAAAATCTGGTCATGGGTAAAATTTTGGGGTAAAATTTGGATATAAATTTAATCTTATGCAATCCTGAAAATCATCGATTGTGTTCAAAATACTATCATTCCCACATACAACTACTGGTTTAGGGGATTTTAAAACATCTGATTATTTATTTAAACGAGCATAAAGGTTGCACAGAGCATGAATAAATGCGTTTACACAGAAATAAGACATTTTTGTCATATTAGTGACAGATTAATTATGAAATGCTTCGGTATCAAGAACACTTCGTTTGGGAATCACTAAAAACCAAGCCTGGTAACTATTTTATTCACTCATTATGTTCTAATATGTAGGCCGATTTTTCTCTTCAGTAACGCAGTCTGTTCATCTTCTGCCAGAGGATTCATAGATGATGAAGAGAGCAAAAGGAGTTTACATCAATGTGACATATCACGCGTTTTCATCACAGTCTCTCACCGCCCTCTCATCACGCGCGCGGTAGCCATAGAAACCGGACAGAGGGGCACTTAGCAACAGAAAAGGAGGAGGCGCAGCATAATCTGCTGCGAGCGGAGGAAAAACAGCCGATGCGATCGACCTTCATTTCATCCGGTCCTGCTTCTGATGGTGAAAACCCGGTCGTTTGTAAATATTAAACATCCATAAAATTACATTCAGCGCTTTTATTGTAGATCTCAATAGGCGCGATGAAGTTCGTCGTGGTTTTGGTCTCCGCAGGACTGCTGGCTTTTCTCGGCGCGGTCATCTGCATCATCGCCAGCGTGTATTCGCGATCCCCGGCCGCCGCGCCCCAGGCGCTGTCCGACAACCGCTCACTGTCGCTCCTGGAGCCGCTGCCTGGATCCGTAGCGCACGCCGGGCCGCTCGGAGCTCTCCATGGTGCTGAATCTTATGAAGGAGGTTTGGACATCGGCCTGGAGATGCCGTCGCTCAATGAGCTGACTACCGGGGACGTGACTGGGCCAAGCCCGAAACAGTTCACTCTTAATCGACTCATTTGTACCCCTGTGCCCATCAGTGATTGCAAGTCCAGGGGTTTGAGAGAACAAGCCGATGACCCGTTCGCCGATGAGGAGGACTGGAGCCTCCGCACCACCGCTGAGGAGCTCCGGCAGATCGTCATTCAGCAAAACGACCAGATCCTCATGGACCAGAGGACCATCACGGAGCTCACCGGGAAACTCTCGGAGTGTGAGAACGGGCTGGAGGAAAGGAGTCTGCACGAGCGGAGTATGGGGGTATGGGCGGGCAACCGTCGCCACATGGTCGGGGATGATGTGAGCAGCTCGGTTGCGGTACAGCTGCAGACGGCGTGGGCTGTGGAGGAACTGGAGAGAGCGATTCTTCAGCTCAAAGATCGCATAGAGAAGTTGGAGGTTGGTATGAGAAACTATAAACATTAAAAAAAAAAAGTCTAAAAGCTTTTTGGAATTTGGTGCCACGGGGTTATTGAGGGGAAACCCGTTTTGTAAATAAACTAGTAGGCAAGGATGCGTGCAAATGTTCAAAATTGGGGATACTGGGGATAATTCAGTGTGCCTGTTCATATTGTAGCACTTTTTATGTCTCAGTGTGTTTTTCTCACCTGGTGAGTGGTTGTTTTCCCCTCCATCTTGTTCATCTCCTGGGTAGAAAGACATACATAAATCATGAGGGAGGAGAGAATAGTACAGGTTCTCAGCTGGAACACTGTCAGCAGTCACACCTGAATTGTAGATGTTGTGATATAGACTTATAGACCAGAGTTGTTATTGCTGAAATTAAATAATAATAATAATTGTTTTTGTTAATGGAAATAAAGCAATAATGTCATATAAACACTAAATGAAAAATATACACTTCTACAATTAAAAACTATACTGAAAGTTGAAGTACTAAAATTACTAAAAATTAAAAAAAATGTAGTAACATTTTTTTAGTAAAAGCTATTTTAAAACATCAATAAATACTATAATTGTATATAATTATAACTTAATGTTATATAAGTTCAGGCAAAAATTAAAATTCTGTCATCATTTAAAGGAAATTTTGATCTTGATGTTTTGATATATTTCCTGTTCATTAGGGCAAGATTTCATTATTATTGAAACATGTTTTCTGTAAAGCTGCTCTCGTGAAAAGCACTTTAAAAATAAATGTGAATTTATTTACTCACTCTCATGTCCTTCCAAACCCATATGACTTTCTTCTGTGGAGTACTAAAGAAGATATTTGGAAGAATGTAGTAGTCACTGTTTTCTGTGCAATTACAAGGAGCTTTCTAGTATATTTTGCAAAGATACTATTTAAACTGAGCTGGATGTTGACATCACTGAATTCAATGATGAACTGTCTTTAACTGAAAAATTTGTGTTTACTATTGTCATTTTGCATTATTGACACTATTTTCCTAATTAATGCTGTTCAGTTGCTTTGACACAATCTGTATTGTTAAAAGCGCTATATAAATAAAGGTGACTTGACTTGACTTGACTTGACTTCGAGCTTCAAAAAGCATGTAAAAGCACCATAAAAGATTAAAAAAGGTAATTTGTATAACTCATGCATCATATTCCAATTCTTCTGAAACCAAATAAAAAGTATTTGAGGAACAGAGCTAAATGTAAGTCATTGTTCACTCAAAAAATTGACATTAAATGAGAACAAAGTCGAAAAGTATGTCTGATTCAAGAACAAATCATTCTTTTGAGTTCCTGTAATTCAAATGGATTTAATATAGTCAGATACACATGTTGAACAGGATGTATTAGGTTTTGCAATAATGACTTCTTGCATAATTCTCTCACAGTTGGAGATAGGCCCCGCAGCGATGAACCACACTGAGCATACTGTGAGCACACTGGGGAGTGTAGTGGTGGGCGAGCCTGGCAGGCCTGTGGAGGATCTGGAAGGAGAGTTAGAAAAAAAGATTAGGCTGCTGGAGAAGGAGAGGAAGAACCTCCGGAAAGACACTCAGAGCCACCACCAGCACATCGACCAGGGAATCAACACCCTGCAAGAGCGTATTGCAGAGCTGGAACAGAGTAAGGAGGAAGGTTTGGTTAAACTCAGGGGATGAAATGGTCTCTTCATTTTCAACTCACTCTCTCTGTCTTTCCTTCCCAGGTCTTACAGATTACAGTTACCCACAAGGGTATAAACTTTCCTTCCCCGTGAGGACTAACTACATGTACGGGCTTGTCAGGCGGAATATTCCAGAGATGTACGCCTTTACGGTGTGTCTGTGGCTCAAGCCTGCTGAGAATGGAATTGGGACGCCATTTTCCTATGCTGTACCGGAACAACCCAATGAACTTGTCCTGTTGCAGGGCATTCATAATCCAGCAGAACTACTCATCAATGATAAGGTAAGACCCACTACACCAGTAGCCTGTATGGCCACTGCTCTACAGAGTTTAGCTCTAACCCTAGTCAAAGACACCTGAGCAAGCTAATCAAGGTCTTTAGAGTTACTACAAAATTATACAGTAGGTAGTTGAGTTTGATCAGGGTTTGCGCTAAACTCTGCAGGGTAGTGGCCCTCCAGGCTCAGGTTTGAGGAACCCTGCACTACACATTCCTTTCGTAACAACCTTGCACAATACAGCTGATGGACTCAGTTGTTACCTCCATTTACAGGTGGCACAGCTGCCTCTCTCTTTGCCCCAGGGCATCTGGCAGCACATATGTGTGAGTTGGACCCTGCGGGATGGAGTTTGGAAAGCATATCAAGGCGGAAAGTTGAGAGGACGGGGTGAAGGGTTATCTGCGTGGCACCCAATCAAATCCGGGGGCGTCTTGGTGTTGGGACAGGAACAGGTGAGGAAGACCTTGAAGAGTCTGAATACACCCTCAAAGGTACACCTTCACTCTTAGAAAAAAATGTGCAAAAATTGTACCTTTGGTGGTGCAGAAGCATGTCACTGGGGCAGTACCCTCAACGGGACATCTTTGCACCTTTATTACTCCTAAATTGTTCATAGTAGTAGCTTAAGGATACATTTTTCTACTCTAATGTAGAAATATGCACCCTTTAGGAGTAGATGAGGTACAAAGTTGTCCTTTTAAGGTTAGTACACCAGTGACAAGCCTCTAAATGTGCAATTTCTGCAAATTTTTTCCTGACAGTGTTTGCATCCTTCAGGAGTTGTTAAGGTACAAAGGTATACCTTTAAGGGTCCTACTCCAGTGACAAGATGTTGGACCTTTAAGGTACCATTTGTGCACAGTATTTCTGATGCAACATTGTGTTTATCCATGTGTAACCCTTCGGCTCTCCTTGGCTCCACTGCAGGACACCCTCGGTGGGCGGTTTGATGCATCCCAGGCTCTTGTTGGGGAGCTTTCATTGTTTAACCTGTGGGACAAAGTGTTGTCACCAACAGAGGTTGCCGCTCTGGCGGCATGTGCAGAATCGCCACGCTTGGGAAACATAGTCCCCTGGACGGACCGAGATGTGGACGTGTTTGGAGGGGCCGTCAAGGACCCCGTGGACCCCTGCCTTCAGAGCTCCCATCCCCGGCAGTGAGCAGGGCCATGGGTTGATACCTTTCTTTTTTAAGGCGAGGGTAAATGAGACAAAAATGGCCTGAAAGGTATGACAACTGTGCCGTGGGTCCCGGTCTGTGTATAGAATATATTTACCATAGAGCTACACTCTCACTGAGTGTTTGTTTCTGCAGGAAAGGGATTTGTCTGTGCGTGTGGTTGTGTTACTTCGGATAGAGCTGCTGCCGAAGGCTTTTATAGGCCTGTTTGCGTCTCGTGTTGCTTGTGTTATTTCATGCCCTTCTTCTCAAAGCATTACCACACAATGGTCCCTTCAAATATAGAGAATGTTTTTCTAATATGATGGATGTGACTCATTCTCGCAGCACTTGTCTTGCTCTTGTTTCATTATTTGTGTAAAGTGGAGCTTTCGCTTCTTTCCCAGAGCAGCTTTTTCCTTTCTTGTTTTTATTACTGGTCCCTCAGGGTCACTTTTCTTGTAATACACTGTTATTTCAGTTTTACAGTATACTTAAAGGTGTACAACGTCTTATCTTATCTTATCTTATCAACGTCTATCATAATATGTCTTAAATTTTTGTCTTTTGGCATCTGGTCAAATGGGTCCTTACCCTGCAGTGTACTTTCTCTCACAGATTCAGCGAGATCCAAAACTTTTTTTTTTAATCCAAAATGTGTTATTTGAAGCTTAATATCTTAAGCGTCGCACTAAATTTTGAAGATCAGATGTGCAGCCCACACACTATGAAAATATGAATGTAAAACAGTGTTTAGCTTCTTGTCGTGTTACCATTGCACTGCATCTAGCCCTACTTGTCCCCTCACAGAGAAAAGCTTATGGGGAAGTGCCTGTCTGTTTATTTGACTCTTGCTATTGGTTGATGATCGGCTGTGATGTCATTATAGTGCTTCTTCATATTTGCACCACCAAGGATCTACAATGATATTGTGACAAATGTGGATGAAAAAAAATTAAAACTGTGAAGAAAATGAAATATGAGAGTGCATTGTCTTGTTTACTTGTCTATCTATCTATCTATCTATCTATCTATCTATCTATCTATCTGTCTGTCTGTCTGTCTGTCTATCAGATAGATAGATAGATAGATAGATATGACTTTTGAACCACAAAACATCCTGATGGTCTGAAATTTATTATCACTATATTATTTTGATCATGACTGTTATATGAGTATTTATCCACTACTCCTTAAACCAATCCAAAACAAAATAACACTGTTTATCCACAATAGTATCATTGGCTCAGTGTCAAGAATTACTCAAATTCATGCAAATCCTTGTTACTGTATTGCCATTCTCATCCTCTCATTCACTGTCTTCATGCTGCTGCTGCTGTTGAATTATAGATGTATGTTAATCACCCCCTCCATCACATTGACCCCTGCTGCTTCTCTCCAACCAGCAAACATCATTTTCTTTGTGTGTGTGTGTTTCCTCTTCTATAGAGTCTCTGTATTCACCATTTCACTTAATTTAACCCTTTTAATACTGAAAAGTTTAATAGTCACAATCCAGCTCTGTATCATTCATATATCCTTCACACAATCACATAAAAATAATATTATGACATGGATGGTGTACAATGACTGCCTTTATTCCTCACAGCATTGGTTAGACACATTCATAAAGTGACGCTTTTCTTAGTTGTAACGATCTGTAAGTGTTATTATGCTCAATGCACAGCCAGACTCTCATCTGTTGCAAGCCCCCTCTCTTCTCTTATCCTCTAGGTACCATTCTTGCTTATATTCTTGCTCAAATCAGTGGTTAGATTATCCCCTCCCCCTGTTTTTATGTGTAAATATATCTAGAAACTGAAAATCCCCTATAATCCACAAATCAAAACATGGTCTATCTGGGAAACCCATAGAAAGCTTTTAGATGATCAAGTGTTGTGTCTCAAAATCAGCACCATCCAATGCATTACATGCTGTACATCCTAACCTACAAATGGCTAGCTTAATGCTCTCCCTGAATATGATATTGGTATATGAGAAATTATTTAGCTTTATTGCAGTGTTGTAAAGTGTATCCACTGTTGACATTTAAAGGGATAGTTCACCCAAAAATGAAAATCATTTACTCACTCTCAAGTTGTTCCAAACTTGTTCTGCAGAACACAAAAGAAAATATTTTGAAGAATGTTGGTAACCAAACAGTTGCTGGTAGCCATTGACTTCTATAGTATGGAAAAAATGTAAAAACGTCAATGGCTACCAGCATCTGTTTGGTTATACTCGGAGCAGCAGTGTTGCTTCTTGCTGACAGGTCTCAGATCAGTGTGACAGTTATCTGGGGCAAACTCTCCAGCTGTGCACAGATGTATCTAGAGCTTAATACAGGTCAGTAAAAAGCAAGAGAGTAAACCACACAGATGAAGCGGGACCAATGCAGCATCTAGACAGCAGGTTTCACCCTGCTCAGACTGCAGTGGGGTTACATGGGGATAAAACACAGCTGGTGTCTGTGCTCATAAAATACAGAGCTTAAAGTGAAACCAAAAAAAAAAATTCTGTCATCCTTTACTTATTTTGTGGATAAACGGTTTGTGGTTTGTCTCAGTATTCAGCCTAAAGGTTTGGAATGATATCAAAGCAAGTAAATGAGAACAGAATATTCATTTTTGGTGATTTTATTTATTTATTATATTTTATTTATTTATTTAAAAAAAGACCAATAAGACATGACTTGCATTATTAACATCAGTAGTTGACAACTCAAACTCCACAATAATCCACATGACTGCAGTCCATCAGTTAATGTCATGTGAAGTGAAAAGCTGCGTGTTTGTAAGAAATACACCCATCATTAAGACTTTTTAACTTTACACAGTAGCTTCTGTCCAAAATACCAATCTTAACATAATGCTCACATCACAATAAATCAACATATTTGTTTAGAACAATTATTTTTGCATGTGAACGGTGCTTGATCTGTACATATTTCTCTCCTGATTCAGATGAGATGACTTTTTCCACTGAAGAAAGCAACATTAATAGCCAAGAGATGACTCATATTTTAGCTGAAATAAACATTTTGAAGTTAAAAACTTCTTGATGAATTTGTTTCTTACAAACGTGCAGCTTTTCAATTCACGAAGCATTAATTGATGGACTAGAGTGGTGTGGATTACTTGTGGATTATTGTGATGTTTTTATCAGCTGTTTGGACTCTCATTTTGACGGCACCCATTCACTGCAGAGGATCCAATTGTGAGCAAGTGATGGAATGCTACATTTCTCCAAATCTGAACAAACAAACTCATCTACATCTTGATGGCCTCAATTTTCAGCAAATTTTCGTTTATGTGTGAACTTCTCCTTTAAGGATACTTCTTTAATTTGCCTTTTTCCATGCATGCCCTGTCCTCATAAATTAAGAAGACCAAAAAAAGTCTTGCTATATGACCATAGAAATGCAGTAGAAACATATTGGTGCATGACGTGCTCTTGAACGAACGACACGCCCACGGACCAATCAAAACAAGCGACGCGTTACGAGGGGCGGGGTTATTTTTTATTTTTTATTTATTTATTTTTTTTGTCCTCTTATTATGAAAGGGTAAACTCTGGTTCACACTCCAATACAGTAGGTGGCGATAATGCACCTTAACATTGGTGCTACCCGCCATAAAACCGAAGAAGAGGGGCGGGGTTACGCACACAGCTGTCGCACGCAGGGGTGGTTGCCATGGTGGACGTGTCTCTCTAGCGATGTCGGTTTAAGCACATCGAACTTCAATTTTCTTTCATTACGGTACGTAAAAGTCTCTTTATACTTCACAAGCTGGTTTATATGCAACGTTAAACTCCTAGGTAGATAATATAATGTTAATGGAAGTAAAAACGAGTGACCTAGCCATACAAATTAGCTTAGCAAGCTAGCAGTTTTCCTGATAAGATACTGTTCGCTTTCCAAAAAAAAGCTAATAATCGCTTCATAAGCATGCAGGACTGTTACTAACCATTCAAAAAATGCTAAAATATGTTTATATGACATTTAGATAAACAAAAAGTACTATGGTATTAGCATTGTTGTTTGGACATGGAACTATGGTAATGTCATGTTATTGAACCTTATAACTGAAATATCATTGTATTCTTTTAAGTAACATTGCTGTACTATGGTATATAAAAGTACCATGGTATTACTGATACCACAGTTTCAAAAGCTATTAAATTAATATCCATCTTGGATTTATTAGATCAGATTTCTGATGTCTTAAACCTGTCCATTTTTTCCTCATCTAGAGCTAATCATCATGGCAGAGACAGTCGATGGCAAGAAGGACGAGGCTGACTATAAGAGACTACACAGCTTTCATCTCATACGGGTGAAAACTTGCGTGAATGGATTTGAATCTTCACTGATCACAATTATGAAAATTATAAACTGTATTGTAACAACTGTAAACAAAAAAGTGTGGAAAAGCACATTTTCTGAGTGCTTTCCTGAACTCAAACAGTCGAGCATGGCATTGATAACATCAGAAATCATTAGTTTGCTACATGCACGAACTGATAAAAACGTACGTCTTCAACACCGTCTTTATTTCTTTGGAGATAAAAGTGTCCGTCAAATGCATGAAGAAGGTAGAGAAATAACTGACATAAGAAAATACATCAAAAAAATGTTTTATTTTGGGTCTATGCAGCTGCCTTTAACCATTAAATATGTTGGTCAGAATGACCAGCAAACATCTCAATCTTGATATAAATTCCGATAATGCACGTTTCACAACTCAAAATGAGTCTAAAAGTTACAAAACCTAAAGAAAAAAAACAAAAAACGGATGCGGGTCAAATTGACCTGAAACATATATATTTCCTCCACAGCACACAGATATGCCTGAGGAGATGCGGGTGGAGACCATGGAGCTCTGCGTTACTGCGTGCGAGAAGTTTGCCACTAATAATGAGGTTAATTCTCATTGCCATCTAGGAGGAACAGACAGGGGCGCCGCTAGCAATTTTGGGCCCTATGAAAGAATATGAGGTTGGGCCCCCTACCGCACCAAACATACACTATATTGCCCAAAGTATTGGGAAAACTCAAAAAAACTCATCGCCAAACACCAATGACTTGTACATATGTGTACAATCATTTTAGGCCCTTCCAGAACTGTGGCAACAAAGATGGAAATACAATTTTTAAATACATGAATTATGTTTCCATCTTTGATGCCACAGTTTTGGAAGTGCCTTTTTCTGTTCTAAAGAAGGGGGTGTCCCAATACATTTGTCCATATGTATGTACAAGTCATTGGTGTTTGGTGATGAGTTTTTGGCTCAAGGTCTGTATTTAAAGTCACACCAGAGGTGTTCAGCTGGGGTTAGGACTTGGCTTTGTGCAGACCAGTCAAGTTCTTCCACTCTGACTGAATCGATCTTTTTTTTTTTTTTTAACCTTGCCTTATACACAGAGGCATTGTTGTGTTAGAATAGAAAATGGTCCTGTTCAAACTATTGGTTTAAAATTAGAAGCACACAATTCCCTAGAATAGCATTATATGCTTTTTTTTTTTCTCTTTTTTACTAAAAATGAGAAATTACTAAAGTAGTCAAACCTGTTCATTAGAAGGGGGTGTCCCAATACTTTTGGCAATATAGTGTACAAGCCAGCCTAGCTATTCAAAATCTTTGGCTGCAATTTAATAATTATGACCTATTACTTTTGCTATTGCTTTTGACCTTTAGGTATCAGTAACATAATTCATTCAGAACCTGTTATATGGACATAGACTTTCTGTACCACACTATTCTGCTGATATGGAATGAGTTTGACTAGTTAATTAGTTATATTAATAGAAATGCTTCACTGGGGCAAACAAAAACAATAAATAGGATACCCCATAGCAGCATTTCCAGCAGTATCCAACATTTCTCAATCATGATCTTACTCAGCTAAATGTGACTATTAGCTTAACAGCTGTATTCATTATTTGCTAGCTACCATATGC